TCTTCACATCCTGCATGTGGGCAGAGTAATTACCGCAGCGTCAGAGCGTACAATAACCAAGACGTCGTTTCCCTGGGTGGGCGTCGGTGGTCGGACAGAATATGGTTTTAGACGTACACTACTCCGTGCTCCTTGAAGCAGGACGTTCTCTGCTGCTGCTGATAATAATTCTCTGAATCTGTCCTGTTGTCAACGGGAACAGAAGATAATCCTCAGATCATCTCAGAACACAAGAGTAAAACACAGAGAAACATCATCAAAGACCTGATTCTACCTTCACTGCTGTCACTCTCACTTGTTATAAAAAGGACGACATTATCGACATTCAAAGGTTTGTTCCACATGGGCAACTCTAATATCTAACTTTGCTTTTCTTTTCCAGTTCTCGGGGGGAGAATTCTGCCTCTTCAGCTGCTGCAGCCGTCGCCCTAATAAATCACTTGCTACGTATTTTAGTATTTTCTGCTAAAGCAGCAGTGGTGAGCATTTAAAAAAAAAAAAAACTACGCAAATAATATTAATGAAACCTTTTCGATTTAATGCAGTCACATAGTTGCTGTGAAATGTTTTGCTAACTCACCAGCCCTGAACCCTTGTTGGTCCAGAACTGTGTTCTCAGTAATACATAATAAATATTCTTGAATTGATGCAGTATTTTTAAATATACAGTATATATTTTCAAGGAATCTCACAAACCAGCAGGAGCCTGCGGACCTCGTATTGAGAACCACTGCCTTGGAACTAACAGTGATTTTAAACAGACATCCCACAGTTTTATCTGACAGTGGTTCCTGAATCTTCCATATGATGACGGTCGGATTTAGAGTCTGCAGGAATTAGGACTTTGAAAAGTATTTCTTTGTTACTACATTCACTTGGTGGATGTACAGACGTACACTCAGACGTACACTCAGACGTACACTCAGACGTACACTCAGACGTACACTCAGACCCAGTGTCAGAGTTGGAGGAGGACAAGTATCAGTGGAAGTTTCTTCTGTTCATTAAAATACCATCTGCTTCTTTAAAAAAATCACAAAGATTCATGACAGAGAAAAACGGCTCACTGGGGAATAATAAAAAGACGGGGTAATGTGACAGCAGCGGCGACGGCAGCAGCGGCGGCGGCATCAGCAGCATCAGCAGCGATGGCGTTGGCCGACGCCTGATTATGGATGCTGATAGGCTCACTGCTGAGATCTCTGGAAAGATGTTCTCACTGAAGCAGGGAAAATGTAATAAGTGGAGCATCCAGGCAGAGTGGAGCACCACAGTCAACCAGTCAGTCAGCTAACACCACAGAGAGGGGGTGGGGGTGGGGG